AGTTAACACAGACACCGCTAACGGCTAATGGCTAACGGCTAACAGCTAACGGTTAGCCCAGCTAATCTACGATAACCATGTTATTAATTACACACACAGAAATAGTAATGTTTGTTCAATCATTGTGTTTATAGACTTTACAAACATCAGATTAATCTAAACGGTGATATAGTGACGTGAAAAATGTGAGATATATATTTATAGAGCTAAACTCAACAACGTAAACAACAAGGCGATTCCCATTTACACAGTGGTCAAGAGTGCTGGACCGGAAGTGTCGCACAAAAAAATGGAAGCTGGCTGCGTTCTGTTTTGCCTCCGTGTTTCCGTGAAAAATAAGGTGGATTGGACCACAAATGAGACAAGAATTAGCTGCTAGCCACCCCACGGTCCCTCTGCCTTACTTCTCGCTGCTGTGGACTGCTTACCCTCTGAAGAGCTGGCAGCACCTGTGCTTGGTCTAACTTGTGTAACGGCAGCAACAGAAAGTTTGGGGTGTCTGGGCTGTCCAGTCCCCCTGAGCTGGGATTTTCCCCAGTTGGATTCGAGTTGCTGTTGCCCGCCCTCCTCCCGATGAGGAGGTCTGTAGCGACAGGAAATGAGGAAGAAGACACACTGTGATTCGAGGCTCTAGCTAACTTTTGCTGCATAAACATGGTCTTGAAGCCGCAGCAAACTATTAGCAACGTTTTCTCGCCAACTCGGAAACGCTTTGCCAATACTGACACGTTTTATTTCGTTTATAGTCAGACAGTTTATAAGTCCGTCTTCCTTTTTTGGATTGTTTTGCAGTGTAGGCAGTTCTTTCCAACGCTAGAATAGCAACTTTCTCTGCAGGCTGCAGTTGTAAAACAGCCAATGGGAACACTTTCTCTCTGAAATGACTGATGATTGGCCAAAGTCTCCCGTCACAGCCAAGATTGTCTAAAGCTTGAAAACCGAGCCAAGTGAAGGTGCAGAAGTCTAGTTTTCTCTCGGTCCACTTGAATTGGAATATGCTCAGTGTTTACTATGGGTTATTATGGGATTTTTGTCCATTGACGCCCAAATGAAACAGCCTACTGCAGCTTTAATGACTGAAGTATTCAACCTCAAAGTCATGCTTGTCACACTGATGTGTTCAGCTACAATTCCAGTGAAGCTTGTGCTTACATATCTGTCAGATTATTAATATTTTACTGTAGAAACAAAAAGAGTGTGTGTGTGTCACTGGGTTATGTTGATGTTGCTGGGACTGACGCAGTCAACAGTATAAAAAGTATTATGTCACAGGCATACTATTAAAATCATCAATGCTTTAAAAGAACAGCAGTCCAGTCGCCCTTTTTTTAAAAACCAGTGGTGTCATCAGCACGTCAGCTGCTGCGAGGCTGGTGAGGTAATAGTTCCCCAGCTGAATAATTATGTTACAGCTGATCAGTGATATTTTTGAAACTGTTTTCATGAGCTGCGATTGCCAACTTTGTAGCCGACTTGAGAGCTCATTTATTCGAGCCATTGATAATGTGCCAGTTCATTAATTATGTGGAAAACTCAAGTCTTTTATCACATTTACTGTATTTAGAGCATTGATGAAGCAGTTGGATCGGAGCGGGATATTCTCCCAGGCCATGATTAATCAAGAAATAGTGCTGTTGTACGAGTAGATACCTAGATTTACTTGACATAGTTGCACAGTTGCTAGAGCTCATTTGAGATGTTATATTGAAATCTTAATGAAAAATTGCTTCTATCAGCATTAATGCATTCATACCGGACCACTAAATACATCATTTCAGGTCCAATATTCCATGAAACCACAAAAAAACCCATGTATCCCTCTGATGATTTGCAGTGCTGTTATGTATTCAACCACAACTGAGCAGAGATGCAGTTAGTTTGAGATGCCTTCGGGAAACCGGACCCTGGTCAGTGCTGTAGTGGGAGAAACTGAAACTATGGGGCTGAGGGGCTGCGGAGCTGGCTCTGGTTCGCTGGCGCCACATCCCCCTGAGCTGGTGAGAATGTGGGGGCTGTGCTCTTGCCTTTGAAGCTTTACCTCCCACTAATTCTGGCCTTCCAATTTCCACACACTGCACAGACACCCCCCCTCCATCCTCTTCCCCTCCCTTTCCCTTTGTTTCCCTTATAAGGACTGGCCCGGCCATTTCCTCAGCTTTTCTGTGGGAGGTGGTATGCTTGTTTGTGAACATGGACAGGTCAGGAGAATAGCAGCATAGTTTTTCTTCTCATAGATGAGCAGTCACAGGAATCTTACGCTAAAAGCCGGTGGATGGATGCATCTCTGTCCGGTGGGGAGTCTCTCACTACAAGCCTAGTGAACCCTCTTCATCGGCCCCACTGCTCTATTTGAGCTAATATTTCACCAGATGATATTGCTCCATAGGTTTGGTAATAGGATAGAAAATACTTTCTAGACAATGATAGTACTCAAAAGACTTCCAGAGTTAATGAAAAGAAAACCAACCTTTGTTCTGTCTCTGGGCTTTTGGCTACATTTTCAGCAGATTATTGTGTGAGAGTCTAATATGGGACCGTCAGATATTTATTGTCTTACATATTGTATCACAAGGTTATACACTCAGATCAATGAGCATGTAATTGTTAGTCAATAAACGCAACATTTCTTAAATGACTAACCTGCAGTCAGGGCAGTATAATTTATTTATAAAGATGGTCTGAAAGACAACTTACATTTTTTTAAAGTGACATTATAACAAATAAACACTGTTCATTTCACAAATGACTAATTTCATTTCAAAATATAAAATAATCTGACTGAACTCACAGTTCCGTACTCACATAACACAGACCAATAGGAGACTGAGGTCAAAGAGTTCGCCTGGGTACCATTTCCAAGCAGGAGATAAGGTGACAGATTAAGACAGGAACTTTTCTGTGGGAGAGCGTACACATCTGTAGTTATTGCAGAAACAGTGTGTCTCTTTATGAATATGTTGCACACAAATACCATGTTTCAATAATTGAATATTTCAGCACTGAACAAAAGTCCTAACAGAGTATTCCATAAAACAAATATGCATTAGTTTCTAAATTCTGCAGTTTACCAAAGTACTATTAATCCTCGGTGCAACATTATTGATTTGATTTTATTAAACCTAAATAGCAAGGATAGGCTCCGACCTTGTGATTTCTTTTCTTTGCCAACCAATCAGAGAAATTTCAGGGCTCCAAGGTGAGGGGTTTGATTTGTAGGTTGACATGTCAAGAATTACAGGAAGAATGAAAGTTTTTAGCTTTTTTTGTGCTTGAATTTGAATTGAACATCAGTTTATCTTGGTTAAAGTTTTCAGCGCTATAAATTAAATTGTAAAGTGGCCCCATCTTTTTTAAATTTTGTAAGACTAAGTGTTGATGTAAGCAATGAGTGTCATCAGCCCCTTTTGTTTCAAAACACTACAGGTGCCTCTTCTCTAATGACCTCAAATGTTTGCATAATTTTACATTATGTAATGTTATTATATTAATTATTCGTCAAAGTTTGTGCGTGTTTTTCAGTCTGGATCAGGATGTTGAGTTTGTCATGTCCACCAAATTAGTGACTCGGATCCTAGGCTGTTAGTTTTCTTCAGGCATTTCATATCTTAAAAGCAGCTATAACCAATTAATTTTTGTGCTTTTAGAAAAACAGCTCTAAACCCATGTACACTATCTGCTCAGCACCAAACGACAGACAGTTAGCAACTAGAGCTGCAATAATCAATCAATTAGTTGCCAACCATTAAATTAATCGTCAGCTAATTTGATTAATGATTAATTGGTTTGATTAAGTTTTTTTAAAGCAAAAAATGTCAAAATTCTCTGATTTCAGCTTTTTAAATGTGATTGGCTTTTTTTTTCTTTACTTCTCTGTGACTGTAAACTGAATATCTGTGAGTTGTGGTGGACAAATCAGGACATTTGAGGATGTCATGTTGGGCTTTGGGAAACACTGACAGACATTTTTCATCATTTTCTGATATTTTTTAGACCAAACAACTAATTGAGTAATCAAGAAAATTATTGATAGATTAATTGACAATGAAAATAATCATTGCAGTGACTAGCTAGTGAACATAGCATTTTTCAGCTAAAGAGCCAGATATTTCCCTCAGGAGTAGGTAGCGACCAAAAATGAGGCTAAAACAGAGTGAATATTGGACTTCGCCAGGTGGACAAAAATGTGACTCCAAATGAATGCTAATGTTGCTCTTTGAAGTTGCAGTGAAACGGAACTTATGGCGTCTTTGGCTTCTGTACTTTGACGCATTTCCCAGTGAAACGGAATATTCATGCGCTGTACATTTACGAGGATTTAAATCAAATCCTTCACATTTGATTTGATCGCTAAAAAGTGGGTGGGCTCAGAGTTTAGCATGATATAAAGCTCCAGTAGAGTCTGCTGCTGACTGACTGTTGGCTCCATACACACCTTCCCCACAGTTCAGGAGGAGGTGAGGGAGAGATGGAGGAATTCAACCTCCATCACATTGTTTTGGAAATGAAAACAAATGTTTGGCCCACCGATATCTAAACTCACATCTCTTCCTATCTGTCTCCATACTGCTCTGTTAGCTACTACAACCCACAGATGGTGAGGTGTGGCTTTATATGGATGGTGTGGCTAGCTAGTTGCTCAAAGTCTCATTTGATGGGATGAGCTTTTATAAATGCCCCTGAGTGCAAGACAAGTCATCAGACACTTGAAAAGGTTTTACCTGGTTTTGAAGACAGAGAAATATTTGGCTCAATTAACACAGGATTAAAACTGGGAAAATGGAGCCAGTTTTTTTATTCACTGGGTCTTTAACTGCTTGGTGTGTAAACAAGTGTCTGCTAACAGGTTCATTACATCATCTTAAATGGTGATGTTCTTAGCAAATCGTCTTGCATTTGCCCCACAACTTAACAGACACCGGAAAATGTTTATTTTGAGTGTTTCAGTGTTTTGTTGAAGTGATCACTGATGAGTAATTTACCTCTCCTCTCTCTGTGTAAAGTTTCCAGATGGCCCATGGAAGAACGTGGATGAGGGCTGATCTGTAGTGCGGGCAGAAGGCTCCGGGGCCCGCCTGTTGTCGGCTGGCTGATTGGTCCATCGAGGTGAGGCACTTCTCTCACCGGGGCACAGAACGGACCGAGACAAGGTCTTTGCTCCCCTTCCTCGCTCACCCCTGCCCCCTTTCCACCCTCACCCCCAACCCAGGCACGTACGCTCTGGACCATGTCTAGCGGGCTGTCGGAGGGGGGCCGGACAGAGGACCAGGAGCGGAGTAGCTGCAAACAGGACTCTCCTGTTATAGAGCGCAGAAACCGCAGTGGCATCATCAGTGAGCCCCTCAGTAAGAGCCTTAAGAAGTCCCGTACCCTCTCCCAGTACACAGCAGTCCCCTCCGTCACCACCAATGGACACACGGACAATAGTGAGACTAAAAGCCACTCGGCCAAGCCTCAGCCACCCCCGCAGCCCCAGCCCACTGTCTCCGCACTGACAGCAGCCAAGTTGGACCGGACCCTAGAACAGGTTCTGGAGGGACAGAATGGCCTGCTGCACTTTGCCCAGGCAGCAGCACTGTTAAAGCGGGCCGGTATGGAGCACATGCTTCTGCCTGGGGGCATGGGAGTGGGAGTTGGCGGTGGAGACGCAGGCTCGGGGGCTAGCGACTTGGAGGGTACGTCTGTCACGGACGCCGTAGGTGGTCCTGTTGACTTCCCATATGGAGTAGGGGGTGGTTTCCCCTTCAACCCGGGGCTTTTCATCATGACGCCGGCTGGAGTGTTTCTGGCGGACAGCGCGCTACACATGGCCGGCCTGGCTGAGTACCCGGCGCAGAGCGAGCTGGCCTCTGCGATCAACTCCGGTAAAAAGAAGCGAAAACGTTGCGGCATGTGCCCACCTTGCCGACGGCGGATTAACTGCGAGCAATGCAGCAGCTGCCGAAATCGCAAAACAGGCCACCAGATCTGCAAGTTTCGCAAATGTGAGGAACTGAAGAAGAAGCCCTCTGCTGCTCTGGAGGTAAGTGGGTGGTGGTCATAATGTGCTATTGCAGTGTGGGCCATTTTTTAGGGTTCCTCCAAAAAAAAAAAGCTGAAAGGAATTGGTTCAATGAGCTACTACGGAGCTACTACAAAGATCTGGGCACATTACCCAAAGTGATCAGAGAAATAAGCTGTAATTTTGTCTTGTAGGACCCAAAATTTAGTTGATCCACAGCGAAGAACTGTAAAAAAAAAAAAAAAAAAAAACACTAGCAAGCTCTGCAAACATCACAAACAAGCACAAATAAACAAATAAGATCTTGGTCACACCTGAATGTCATTCCCCTTTAAGGGAAATAGTAAAGGGGGGCTTTTGGTGGGGTGATGTCTCCACAAGCAGGGAAATGACAGGTGGTGAGGAGTGTGGTGGGTATGTGCAAGGTAAGCGTGCACCATGGGGTGCCTTTAATCTGTCCACCATAACCACACAATCACCTTGCCCATATCTTTCAATTGGAAGGCTAATTCACGATCTTAAACTAAAGATTACACAGAGAACGTACTGCTCCCTTCAGTGGAGCAGTTTCTGTTTGGCCACATGTACATTGTGCATATGTTGTAATCCTAAAGAAAAAAAAAGTGTGTGTGTGGAGGCAGAGTGGCAGTAATTGTGAATATGTGTACAGTATGTGTTTGTGTGTAAGTGTACATGCGTGGGTATGTTTGTGTATGTGTGTGTGCATGTAACAAGGTCCATCTGGCCACAGAGCTGTCATCTGGAGCACCAGGTGTCAGTGTGGCACATGCCCCCCGCGCCCCCCTCCTCCTCCTCCTTTCTTTGCTGCCGCTGTCCTTCTCTCCTGTGACACTCCTGCTCATCTAAATGGCCCTCCAAACTTCCTGTCTGTTACCTCCGTTACACTCAGTGGCCTAACTAACCCCGGCTGTGATGACAGAACGACCAATCATGAAATCAATTTCAGCAGATGTTCCATCTCAAAGGAAATAAACTTTTTGTGATCAATGGATAATAGTGTCACTTTGGCATTACATAATAAATTGATAGATGTGTAACACAGTGTGAACATGAACCAGTGGAGAGGCCTCTGGTCTAATTGACACAAACTGGATCTGTGCTTCAAACTGCTAATGGCTTTACTTCTTTCTCTTTCTGATGTTGATTGAGGGTGACAGCTTGGCCTCTTGTTTGTGGGCTGAAATGTTGGTTGTTCAATCTCAATGTGCTGACATCGACTATCCGCTGCGAAATGCTCCTTAAATGGGGGTGGTTTTGTTATCGCAGAATTTTGAGTGACACAAATTAAAAACACAGTATGCTGTGACATCATTTTGAGTGTAAGATTAGCTCAGTTAATGGATGTTCACGGACCTTCAACATCGACTGATTGATCCATTTCTGCCACAAATTCTGCTCTGAGTCATCTTCTCTGTAACGGTTTAAGGGTTCCTAACATCTAGCCGAAATATCCAACCAACATGATAAAACAACTACGCATAATCAGGTGTTTGTGCATGCTCATGCTTAGATATTTTAAAGGCAACATCAATATTTTTGCATGTTTTAACCTGTTTACTGCTACTGAGCCTTTTTGAAAACATACCAAGGCGGTTTTTTAATGCATTTTTTCACCCATGTGAGTTTAATTTCCTTATAAAGACTGTACTGTCAAGAAAAATGACAGCATAAGCACTTTAAGAAATTGTCAAAAAAACGACACATTTACATTCATCCAACAAAGCTCTCTAGTGGAACTGTGACTCTTGTCCATCGATAGCAAAAGAGCATGTAGGGACAACACATTGTCACTCCCAATGCATCAAATACCAACAGAACAACTTGGTTAGTGGCCCTATGTCAAACTATGACACTTTAGATACCCCTCTTGTGTCAGTTTAAGATGCACAGGAATGGCGTGTCGCTTTCTTGTTATTACAGGTATTCTGTCTTTTCAAAATAACCTTTTTTTTAAACAGGAAATGTACAGTTTCCTCTTGTTAAATAGAAGCTTTTTTCAAAATAAATATAAACCCAATACAGGTTGGTGAGTACATACTACGTTATGTACTTAAAATAACTCAATGTTGATTTTTGGGTACACATGGCACATAAACCACAGTCCTCTGGGGGAAAGTCCTATGTAACCTCTCACCCTACATGGATGTTCCTGCTCTTTATACTACATCATTTGCCTGTAGCATCAAATAATGATGCCAAAAGGTGCCTCAGTGTGTGGGTATGTGACAGTGAGGACCCTGGTAGGTCATGTGTCGCTGGGTTAACCAAATGTTGGATATAAACACAAGATGTCCTACAGACAGTTAACGTTTTCTCATAACCGTGAATCAGTCTCCAGTTTTAAATAAATGCTTATTATTGTAACTATGACAATGAAGGTCCTCTGACTTTAATGTAGCAACTTGAACCCAAACCATGATGTTTCCCTAAATCTAACCAAGTTGCTTTTGTACCTAAATCTATCCGGACCTTATAACCTCACCATCATAACTACTGTCAACCACTGTTTCAACAATGATTTGTAATGGACATGGACTGCACAGACAAATTATGTATATTGTCATTTGATTTGGGGGACTTGTTGGCTCGTGGTGGTTATCCATAGACTGATTTACAGGATGTAGACTGTGGCTTTAAACCTGCCAGTGGCGGATGATGTAATCTGGCATTCTCTCCCTCTTCCAATATCAGTGTGTTACAGTTCAAGCTTACATCCTCCCTGCTGAAAATGCATATTTTGACAAAGACTTGGGTCATGCAATAAGGCACACCTGCTTGTTCTTTCTGTGAATAGTTGTAAAGATCTAGAAGGAATAACACAAATTGCGAACGCACCTTGGAATAGCCCAGACTCCATCTCACAGGACTCTCATGCCTGATGTTTTTTGACACGACCAGTGGATACGTTCATTTTCAGTGTTGTTAAAGTCACTACTCACATACTTCCATGTGTTCTTTATGTTGGCATGGATACATCCACTAGATTGCAGGGCAGAGTCAAACGTTTCTGACAACAATAAACAAGGTGACGTTCGGGGAGGTCGAAATAATGCACTGTTCACTGATGACGGTATTGTAGACTGCAGTGGTCCACTGCCCCCACAAATTCTGTTGCTAAAACAGTGTTTCGTTCGAATCTGTAAGCTTCCAGGAAACATGCACAAATACGGATGAAATAAATGCAGAGTATTGACCGAAGGCTACGTCCATGTCCGTATATGCATCTAACACTGAGGATAAACGAGCCGGAGACAATTGTAGATGTAGATGTAGATTTCAAAAAATACAAACAACCCATAGCAGCTTTTTTTCCTCATAGCAGAATGATAATGTGTGCTTCCAGTACTTTCTGGAACACTAACACAGTGCTGTGGAGACAGGTCTGGCTCTGTGAGACTAGATCATGCCTGGTTTAATTGTTGTCAGAAACATTTTTTCAGGGGTTGTAAGGCAGGTGAAAGCACAGATCAATGTTCACAATGATTTATACTTTGTTCTTGGTCACATTTTTCCTACTTTAGATAAGTGGAAACTAATGGCTTCCCACACCACCATGAAGAGAAGACTCAAAAAATTATAAAAACTAAAAAGTACACGGTGAAATTTGGAGCATTGTTGGCAATAATCAGAAGCATACATGATTTGTATGACAGTGAATAAAAACACTCAACAACTGTGGCATGGTGTTTCTGATGGTGTGAAGCTGAAAGATTCATATGCTAGTCATCACGTGCCATTAAAACCCCCTGACTTTCTCACAAGTTGAGAATGAGACTGATGTGTCTGAATCCCGGCATGTTGTTTTTCACTGTTGTATTGTTCAGTTGCAAATTAATGAGACGCTTTGTTTGTTTCCGTTGATGATTCACCAAAATGGTGTAATGTGTCAGCTCTCTATGTAGGTGGTACGACTCAACGTCTGCAACAGAAAGGAATTTAATTTTAATTTATGATTTGCAATTGATGTTGTCATGGCAGTTAGCCTAATACCAGTCGTTCACACCAGTGATGCCAAACCCAAGGGGGCTTGAATATTCATGAGTGTTGATGTTGATATAGGTCATCATGCTGCTTGAGACGTCAGTCTGCTGATGTTGCCAGTGGCCACCTCGTATGAAAGAAACTCCAGGGTACCATAAACCTGCCAAGCCTCCAAGTACCAAGTATAATAGCAGTCTGATTATTGACTTTAGTAATCGTGTGTCCTATAATTACCTTGCACACATTTTGTACTCCTGACATCTGAAAGTACTCGCTAATTTATTTAATGCGTCTGTCAAGCGATTTCCTTTTTTCGAACCAGAAATGAGAAAGCTAATCTCTGCTTGTAACTTAATTTAACATGTACAGTGTGTGTGACAATATTAGACTAATGAATATTCTGTAGTTAAAAGTTTTTGCTTGCTGTGTGGGCAACACTTCTCCACATTACATCATTCCTCATGTCTAAAATCATACTTAAGATTTAAACTAGTCAATTAGAACATGAAGTTTAATGTTTTTCACATGGTCAAAATTTTGACTGTTACACTAAAGTTCATCCATACATCAAGTAGAGATGGATGTGAATATATGAATTATTCTGGTCTCATTAATTGCCAAAACAGCAACCGCATTGTAGGTGTGCAGCAGAGAAAATGTGACAGTATATGAACAAAGATGCAGTGCTTATTTAGAGAGCTAAAAAATTTGTGTAGTGCCACTGATGCACTTATTGTCTCAGGCATGAGTGTGCCATGAGAAAGGCAAGAAATATCCATGCCAAAGTGTGCAGCTTCTGCACATCTACCCACACAGAGAGCATGAATCAACACCTGACAACCCACAGCATGAAATAAAATCTTTGTGACAAGGTAATCCCTATAATATTCCTCTGATGTCACCTTATAAACAGCCTCTTAGTCATGTTCCTTCCAGTTCATTCTGGACATCTTTTTTATGTGGTTGACACCGTGAAGTTAGTATTTTAGAGGAAAACCTTTACCCCCCAAATGATTATG